GTACTTTCACACGGCACAAAACTGTCGGAGAAAGGCACATCCATGCCCCTTTGGTCACAGCAGTCAGCTGTTGTATCCTGAAACTCAAAGGCCCAAAATCACAGACAGCTGTTGTCAAACAGTACATAAGATGGGTATGATATTTAGAGTGCTGGGAGGGTTGGGTCAAGGACGATAGATTGTAGGGTGCCAAGTGGGTAGTGTGCCAGGTTAGCATGGTGCCAGGTGATAGGGGGTTAGGTGCCGGCTGGGGTGGGGTAGGATGGCAGGGTGTGAGAAGGGAAAGGGTAGGTAAGTGTTTAGAGTGGGTCCGTGGTGGATTGGGAAGGGTAAGTGTTGGGTCTAGGTGTCACGCTCCAGTAGGGGGAGAGGCGATCAGCATGGTGACTCAGTGGTTAGCACTGCTGCCTCACAGTGCCAGGGTCCCAGCTCCAACGATCAGAGGTTGGTCTGATATTGTCGCCAGGATGTTTTTGGTGGCCAGGTCACAGCAGTTGGGACTTTGTCCAGCAGTGAGGAGGGTTTGGGTGTGGATTAGCGCAGGGGGCATTGACTGGGGAGATAGGTGGCAGGAGAGAGGGACGGCTTGTTGGATCAAGAGACTGGGGTTTTAAGGATTCTGTGCGTTGTGAGTGAGGTAAATGTGGAGTCTGTTTAATAGTTATTCAGCAGTTAGACTGTGCATTTAATAGTCTAACTTTTCCTAAGTAACTAGTTTAATTTATTTCATCAGAACTGTCCAACTTGTCCAATTTAAGTATAGAATTTTGGAGGGCTCCAGATGTAGGGGAAGAGAACAGGAGAAAATTCACTTTCCCAGGCCATTTCCCTGGAGTTTGCTACATTGGGGATTCCATAGGGTCCCCATGCACAACTCCTGTCCACCTGACTATCAGAAAAATCCACCCATATTCTCACTTGCAAGGTAAGAGGTTCTCTCTTGTGTGGGAGTCGGGGCTGCTTTGAATTGAATGTTTTGATCTTCTGAACACTTTTGAAAGTTGCTGTTATTGATAGTAATCTGAATGGCACTTTTCTACTTTACAAAGATTTTGCCCTTTTCAATTTTGCAGGTACAAGGACTATCGTTACCCTTCAGGACATAGTTTAGAATATCAGCACAACATGCAATTCTGGCATATCTTGGCTGCAAAAATGGCATTCATTATCATCTTAGAGGTATCATTAAAATCTCTTCTCAGACTTTAATCTCTGATGTTATTAAAATGTTATTAAAGCCTGCTAAATACTTAAGATGACAGAATTGTAGGTTTTAATTTGGAGGCAATTTGATTAATTTACACTTTGCTGATGCCGATTCACAGACCCACTGTTTTGTCCCCCACTGATGAGTGAGATTAACGTTCACAGTGTAACCCTGAAGCTAGCTGCCTCTGAGAAATTCAACAAGCTTAATCTCTCACCATGTGAAATTAGCCACTTTAACTCAGATGGGGAGGCGATGATCAAGTGGTATTTCACCAGGCTATTCAACCAAAGGCCGAGATTAATGTTCTGGGGACCTATTCAAATTCTGCAATAGCACATTAAAACATCTGGGGAAAAAGAAATATGAATTAAAGATTCTAATGAAACCATTGTCAATGTCAGGGGGAAACCCATCTGGTTCACTAGACACTTTAGGGAAGGAAATCTGCCATCCTTACCTGGCCTGGCCTACGCGTGACTCCAAACCCACAGCAATGTGTTGACTCTTAACTGCTCTCTGGCAATTAAATACAGGCCAGTGACACCCACAACCTGCAATAAACATTGTTCAAATGTATGATGTATTTACCAGCTCTTCAATAGCTTGTAAATTCTGTAGCCTCACTCTCGTCTTGCTAACCTGTACGCTGGCCAGGGGTATGGCATCATTAGATTGGAGCTAAGAAATAATGAGGCCCTGTTAGTGAAAGTGATTCCAGTTTAAATGTGTAAACTATTTTGGCAGGTTAGATTAGGTGAAGAAATCCTTTTAGAATGATGTCTGTATCTTGAGATCAACAATATAGAAAGAGAGAAATCTACTGCATTTATATGGAGCTTTTCCCATCAGGTCATCCCAAAGCACTCATGGTTATTAAACACTATGAGTTGGTTAAGGTCATTGCCTTGTTGGATGGAGAAAAAAGGTCTCATGATGGGGCCAGCATGGTGACTCAGTGGTTAGCACTGCTGCCTCACAGTGCCAGGGTCCCAGCTACAACCCCACCCTCAGGCAACTGTGTAGAGTTTGCACATTTCCCTGTGTATGTGTGGGTTTCCTCTGGGTGCTCTAGTTTCCTCCCACAGTCCAAAGATGTTTAGGTTATGTGGATTGACCATGTTAAATTGCCCATAGTGTCCAGGGACGTACAGGCTAGGTGGGTTAGCCATGGGAAATGCAGGGGTACAGGGATGGGGTAGAGGGCTGGGTCTGGGTGGGATGCTCTTTGGAGGGTTGGTGTAGACTCAATGGGCCAAATGGCCTGTTTCCATGCTGTAGGGATTCTATGATCCTATAGATTACTGAAGAGGGCTGTGGGGAGGGGGGTGGTTTCCCTAACAAACACCTCTCTTAAACCATTGTTTGAGAAACGATCATTTCTTGGAACCTTACTGTCCACACATTCGCTGCCTTACTGGTGTTAAAATTCATTGTATAATTGCAACTACGTCATCATGATAAATGTGCGAATCAGGAGCAAAGGAGACAATTCAGCACTTTCAGCCTGCTTCACCATTCATAGCCGATCTGATTGTAACCTCAAACTTGTATTCCCACTTACCCCCGATAATCTTCTTTAATTTAAAATAAATCTCTTTACTGCGGCCTTAAAAATATTCAAGGACTCTGCTTCCACAACCTTTTCAGGAAGACAGTTCCAAAGGTTCACGACCCTCTGAGAGAAAAGAAATTTGCCCAATCTCTCTTTTAAATGAGTGACGCCTGATATTTAAAAGAGTTGCCCCTAATTCTAGATTTTCCCAAAAGAGGAAGCATCCTTTCCACTTTTACCCTGTCAAGACCTCTCATACATTTCAAACAAGTGAACATTGAATATTTATTTCTTAATAATATTTCCTGGAGTATGTTTATCAGCGCCTGGAATATTGCTTGGTGTTACAGAACTCAGAAACTTTCTATCCCTGAGTCTGCAGTTGAAACAACCTTCTGTTTGACTTCCATCATTTAATTCAGATATCCTCTGTTTATCAGATTAAGTTCACTATACTGTAGCAGTGGATTTACTATTTTTTTGTTGCTGTTCACCTCCAGCACGTTGTTTTCCTGGTCAAGTTTGCGATCGCCGCACTGATTCCGGATGTCCCAAGTGAGGTGAAGGCTCGGATAAAACGGGAGAAGTATTTAACGCAGAAGATTTTGCACGAGTATGAACTCAATAAACTGAGAGAGATGCTTGCCGGTACAGGGAGTTGTGCTGTAAACAAGGAGGTCTCTGTGCAGGCAGAAAAGGTGGAGTTGCTGAGCGAGCAGTTGTAGCCCAAGTGGCAGCAGGTTTGAGAAACACCGAGAAAGGACTCGCCTGTGTTGGTAAAACAAATGGATTTGTTTATTTGGTGAGGAATGGCCTCCCATGATGACATGGGAGTTGGTTCCAGCAATCATGATGTTGCTGCCACTAATTATGATACTATATCCTGCTGTAGAGTCTGTGAGCTACTGCTTTTGATGTGACAACTTTTCAGAATAATTTTCTAACCTGGCAATTAACAGTTCCTGTTATCTTTCTGAATGTGCCGTTCCTTTGGGATAATGAACACTTCTATTGTTGTCAAGGAGACACTGACTGTTAAACCGTCCAAAAACATTACAAACCTGTTGAAAACCTCGCATATAGGATAATGAAGAATGTCAAGTTGTAAGTCTATGTTATACTCTATCTGATCTAAAATGAGAACCAATGCAATCCTGTGATCAGGTGCAATGTCTTTTTGTTTTTTAGTTTCACTCCTTTGGTCATTGACTCCATCATATTTGCTTTAGACTCCCTTGGCCTCTTTTTTGTTTCCTCTGCTCTCCTTTTCTATCTCTTGTCTCTTTTTATTCCTTACCTGCCTTATCTCTCTAGTCCACGTTCTGCGCAGATTCATCAGACCAACAATACTGTCTGTAACAGAATGAAACAAAATGGACACAAAATGACGTATGAAGCAAGGTCATGTTCTGTGAAACTTAAGAGTGGAAACTACTGCGAGATACTAATGCACAAAATGTAACTACTGAAATCTCATTGACCAATTCTTAACTTTATGCACACGCTGAATAAAAAAGCCATCAGTTTCCTGTAATACCTCCACAGCTAGGGCTAAATGCTACACATCTCTATATTATTACTCCATGCTCCAGTGTTGGACCGTGCCCTAGTTTCAATGACTAGTCAAGAAATGCTTCATTAGTTTTGAATCAAAATTTACTCTTAAGGTTGCATTAAAACTTCCTTTGAAAATTGTTTTAAAGAGGTGGATGTGTGACATGCAGAATAGGTGTGGAGTAAGTATGTTCTAATCACAGATGTCCCAATCTATGTCAGCAAACAGAAGGAGTTTCAAAAAGCCCGTCCTGCAACAATAACATGCTTTGGGCAACATAAAGGGACATCGAAGAAGGCCATTCTTAAACAGCCTTCACACATTATCCCACCTGCCATTGCCCTGAGTGTCTTGAAAGTGGAGCGAGATTAAAGCCCTGAAATACCAGTGTAGTGGGCAGTTAATTGGCTTCATTTGGCCAAAGAGCTTGCAGCCTAGAGGTAATGTAACCCCTCCTTTGTATTATAGGTTCAGAGGTGGGTGGGAAGGGAGTGGGATGGACACTTGACATATTTTGTTCATCCCTCCTGCCAAAAACATGCACGACATAAAATCTACCTGGTGGTGTCTTGAGGTAAGCCCCCTCCAATGAGCGTCAGAGACTGGTCTGACATTGTGCCATTCAGCCTTTTCCCCGTGCCTCAAGAACTGTTCTTTCCTGAATGCCCGAAGACACACACAAGTGGGGGTTGGGGGTGAGAGACCCCATCCTCCTGTGTGATATCATGGAGGCAGCCCACAGAGGTCGTAGGTCACCCAAACATAGGCTCACCAAGTAGCAAGTGAGAATGACCTTTTGTCTGATACACAAAATAATTCCACAAACATAAGCGTGAGGAGTAGGCCGTTTGGCGCCTTGAGCTTGCTCTATCATTTAATAAGATCATGGCTAATCTGATTGTAATCTCAAATCTCCATTCTCACCTACCCTTAATACTTTTCCCTACTACCCCCAACACAGTTGCTTATTGAGAAACTATTCACGTCTCCCTTAAAAATATTTAAAGACTCTGTTTCCAGAAGCTTCTGTGGAAGAGAGTTCCAAAGACTCTTGACCCACTGTGAGGGGGGAAAAAAAAACCTTTTGTCTGATCTCTGTTTTAAACGGGTGGAGGTTTCTTTCAGACAGTGACCCTTAGTTCTAGATCCTCCCACTAGATTGCAAATTCTATCCATGTCTATGCTGTCAAGACACCTCCAGATCTTATGGGTTTCAATGAAGTTGTTTGTTACTGTTCTAAACTCCAGCTGACATAAGTCTAACCTGACCAATCTTGCCTCGTAAGACAACCCATCCAATTCAGGTAATCTGGCTGGTAAACAGAAATGGAAATTGCTGGGAAAATTCAGCAGGTCTGGCAGCATCTGGGGAGAGGTAAAAAGTGTTAACGTTTCAGGTTCAGTGATCCTTCTTCAGGTCATTCTGAAGAAGGATCAGTGGACCTGAAATATTAACTCTGCTTTGTCGCCCCAGATGCTGCCAGACCTGCTGCGTTTTCCCAACAATTTTGGTTTTTGTTTCTGATTTCCAGCATCCACAATTTTTCTTTAATTAGGCTGATTAAACCCATCTCTGAAGGGTTACTTCTGATTAATTCTGGTCTGTCTGTTATTTTTGTAAACAGAAAGAGTGCCTTGAATAGATCAGCAGGAGCGACTTACAGAGCAAAGAACCAGCTTCTTATTTCATCTATTTCACATAAGGGCCTTATGTGAGATAGATGAAAAGTTTCTGATTACTCCCAGGACAATTCAAACAAAAACAATTGAAGGCAAAGAGTGTGTTTCATAAACTATGTCCATGCTTTAAGTTGCCCTGCATATTTTAACATTGTTTTATTTTTAAGGCCTGCATTTCTTCCGATTACGTTCACAGTCCTGCTATCATGTGATTGCCCCCTGACTTCCACCCTTACCTGCTGGAGTTACAGCCCCACACCCATGCTTTCTAGGCCCTGATTTTACTTCCTTCTGGCATTGCTTCCCTCCGCCTTTGCCATGGGCCTTGCCCCTTGTTTGCCCCCAACACCGCCTCCATCCCTCTCCCGGCATTGGTACCTCTGTTGCCTACTACCCCCTCACAATCTTGCCTTCCTCTGCCCCTTCAGCCCAACTGTAGGTTCCGAACTTGTACTAATGGCCTCCATCTCGTGGTGGAAGCTGGTAAGGTCTCTGCACTGACAATCCTCCACCATTGGATGAACCTGGTCAACCTAAGGTGCTGTGTTTTTACAAATATTTCAAAAACTACTATATTGTACTTTACAGATCTTATACTGTTTTGATTTTCTTTATATTTTGTGTTGTATTTTAGTTTGCAAGTTATTTCAGCTGTGAATGTTCAGTGCTGCACATGTATAGTACAGTATTTTCAACATCATCTTTGTTTTGCCTGAGCAAAAAAAATGTCCAAAGGAACCTAATTCTGACTTCCTGTGGGAACCTATGATTCACTTAAAGTTATTTTACTCAAAGTTATGATTTTAAGGGATGAAATCACAATTTTAAGCGAGGACTTACTGTACAAACTTCTAGGAGCAGTGGTTTCATGTTAGTCCAGTCACAGTTCTAGTTTCCTCTGAGACTTTCACAAACTCTAAGTGGAAGTCTGTGTTTATCTAGTTCCCAGTTTCAATCTTTTTATTTAAGAAAAGCCATCATCTTTAATAAAAAAAACAAAACTGACTTCAGATCATTGGCAATTGCCAAGCACATAATTATATTTAGAGGTATCAATGCAGATTTAATTATAAATCTTTTAGATTGCAGTGGAGCCAGTATCAGTGGAAAATGTCTGTTAGAGGACACCATAGAGCCACATTTAAAAGGCAAAGATGGTCATTGCTGAAAAATCTGGGCTTGGAGTCTTTGATGAGAGGAATGGCATGTGGGGAGATGAATTCAGCGGCAGAGAAGTGTCTACCCACACTGATGTTGGCATCATGGTTGACTGAGTCTCCTGCTCCAGATCATTAGGAGGAACTTTATCGAGACATTGCATGCAAATTGAGGCAAGTATGTTAAATGCACTGGCTGTAACCTGTGGGCCATCGCCTCCTCAAAGCTGCTGGTTAAGTTTAACATTCACTTCCACCTTGTGAGGGCTGAGAGTGATAACCCTCACTCATGGACTCCGGGCTAGCACTGAGCTTTTCATCTATCCTACAGATCTACTGTGGGGGTTTTGACTCTGGGCATCAGTAAGAAAAGTGGCAGGGTCTTAGAGCCAAGAACAAGTTTCCGGCTGTTGGCAAAGTTAGCACAGTGGACACATCTAACCCTACACCTAACCCTAGCCCACCTTGCGGCAAGCAAAGGAGCAGAGAAATGAACTGGTGACTGGTATCCCCAAGCGAGCTGGTCTCCCCTCTTCTCCATATTCACTGCAAAATTCAGAGGGACTGGGAGCAGGGAGTTTAGTCTTCATTATAAGTTACCATATACCATCACAAACAAATAATGAAAATCCTCAGTTACTCATCATTTGAATACGTTTTTGGTTTGTTCTGGTGAAGCTCTGGATTTATGTTAGATCTCCCCTCCATACATAAGTTGTTCAGGGTCTTTCTCCACCACATCTCTGTTCTTGTCCCTTCAGCATTTCCCCCACCCCCCTACATTCTCCTTTAAAGATCAGTGTTTCTTCTGCTGTCTGTTGCAGAATTCTGAAATTCTCAGTTCCAGAGGGTTGATGAACCTGTCTCCACTTGGCTCCTCGACTGTTGGATTCAGACATCTTTCCTGATCCTTCAGGCCTGGAGGCAGACATAGCTGAAACCATCAGTGGCAGAGACATAGAACTCACTCTGCTGGGTATAGTCAGTCCAGGATAACTCTCCCTTTTCCTAATGGCTGCTGCCAGAAGATTCCAACAGTAGTTCAGGCTCATTGCTGAGGATTCACTAGCCTCTTGCAGGGTTCTTGGATATATCTGGTCAGACCAGGAGATTTATCCACTTTCATACATTCTAATACTTCGAACACCACCTCTGCTATGATATGGACTGTCCCCAAGATATCGCCACTAACTTTCCTGAACAGACTTAACAAATTCCACCCAATCTAAGCCTATGTACTCCTTGATACCAGGTCCATGACAATCTGCTCTTCAGTGCAGGTGACTGCTTCCAGGCTCTAATGTATGCACCAAAGTGATGCCTCTCCCTCTCAGTCACCCTGTATATGATTTTTGTGAATGAAAACCATAAGGCCACATTATAGAGTAGAAACATATGAAGATGGACTGAAAATCGATCTTGCCATTAAAACCAGGATTAATCTTGTTCAAAGCAAAAAGAAACAGAAATTGCTGGAAAAATCAGGTCTGGCAGCATCTGTGGAGAGAAAACAGAATTAAGTTTTGGGTCTAGTGACCCTTCCTCAGAACTGGACCCGAAACGTTAGCTCTGCTTTGCTGCCGGACCTGCTGAGTTTTTCCAGCAATTTCCAGTTTTGTTTCTGATTTCAGCGTCTGTGGTTCTTGGGTTTTTCTGATCTTGTTCAAGATGGGTGGCCAATCAATATGATCGCTCCCGTCAACACCAGAGCTGGGTAGTGATCATTGTCTGTACTGCAGGGAGAGGTGTGAAGTGAATCAGTGCAGCCCCTGCACATCCCTTCCCCTCCCCACCCCCGATAACCACAATCCCCCCCTCCTTCACCCCACAAGCACACAGTGAAGGTAGGTCCTGACGTATTAGGGTGGTGAGGAATCCTAGAATCCAGGGACAAAATAACGGGGTTGGAAGATCCTGTCAGGTGGGCACATGAGGAACCCCCCTGAATGACGCCCTGTCTATCCCACCTTTCTTCATGTGAGCAATTATAAACAAAACTGCCCACTCCAGCTATAGTTGAGCACAGCAGCTTTTATCAAGATCAATTGACCTTTGAATGAGCTCAGTTGACCCTTATTGCTGTAATTTTTTTAAAGAGTCATGGTTATTTTAAAGAGGCAACTAAACTGCAGATGCTGGAATCCAAGGTAGACAAACAGGAGGCTGGAAGATCACAGCAGGCCAGGCAGCATCTGGAGGAAAGGAACAACCAACGTTTTGGGTATTACCTTTCTCCTGAAGAAGGGTAATACCCGAAACGTTGACTGCTCCTTTCCTCCAGATGCTGCCTGGCTTGCTGTGTTCTTCCAGCCTCCTGTTTGTCCACCACGGTTGTTTTAAATACTGTTTCAGATGCCATCATTAATATTCTTATTATTGTTAAAGCTTATAGGTTTTAAAGCTATGGTTTTACCTTGTCATTGTACACTGCTGGCCATTCATTTGAAAGCACATATCCTGACTCAACAGCATAGACACAAGAATTGATAATTTTTTTTACTTAAAGTTGCTGAAATCTATTTAAATGGCACAAACTCATGACTTGTGAACTAACACTCTGAAATTCTGTCAGAGATTTTCGTAAACCTTTACCTGTAAAGTGCAAGGTGGCACAGTAGCTCAGTGGTTAGCACTGCTGCCTCACAGTGTCAGGGACTCGGGTTCAATTCCAGCTTCGGGTGACTGTCTGTGTGGAGTTTGCACATTCTCCCTGTGTCTGCATAGGTTCCTACCAGATGCTCTGATTTCCTCCCACAGTCCAAGATGTGCAGGTTCGATGGATTGGCCAGGCTAAGTTGCCCATAGTATCCAGGGATGTGCAGCCTAGGTGGGTTAGCCATGGCGAATGTAGGATTACGGGGATAGGGTAAGGAAGTTGGTGGCAAACTCTTTGGAAGGCTGTTGCAGACACAAGTGGCCCCTTTCACCACTGTAAGGATGCTATGATTCTACCTAGAAAGCATTTTGATTTACTGCAGTGATAACTGATTTAAAAATATATATATATATATTTCTATATGAGTTATCATTAACATGGAAATATAAAGCCAAAGATATGAGAATTGTCAATGTGCAAAAAAAATCAAGATGCACAGTAGCACCAGACTAGCAAAAATGTCTAAAGGCAAAATACTGCAGATGCTGGAAATCTGAAATGAACACCGAGAATGCTGGAGAAACTCTGCAGGCCTGGCAGCATCTGTGAAGAAACAGTGTTATCGTTCTGAAGAGGAGTCAGACCAAACTCAAAACATTAACTCTGTTTCTCTCTTCACAGATGCTGCCAGACTTGCTGGATTTCTCCAGCATACGCATGTTTGTTTCAGATTCTCTGTGCTTGCTGTAGCAAAAATGTCTTACTGCTAAATTGAGAAGTCACCTTGCTGACTGATTCAATTTTCAGTGGCACAAAAGCAGATGTGGTAGGAAAGCTGTCACTGGCCAGACGCAGATTTGTCTGACAGTTGCTGCATTTCAGCACAAAATCACTCTGTTGTGCTGTTTTAGAATCACCCTAGAGAACAACCTGCCATGTAGAGAGG